GGGTGCCCGGTGGCGACCCGTGGTCGGCGATGGGCTAGCGGGACTGCGGGCCGGTCCCGCGACAGAGGAGAGGAGTGGAGGCCAGTGGGGACGGACGAGTGACTTTTTTATCATCTTTTTTAATGGACCTTTTTGTAAATATTTTATTAAATTGTATCCCCTTTTTATCCTCTTGCTTTTTATTGATCACACCTCCTCAACAGACACTTTTAACCTGTGACATAGTGATCAATGAGTATGTATTTCTGTCAGTGAGGAACCACACCTGTTCAGTGAGGAACCACCCCTGTTGGTAAAGGGAAACTGGAACACCCGGAGGAAACCTATGCAAGCACGGGGAGAACATGCAAACTTCAGACAGAAAGGTCCTGGTGGTGGAATCTTGCCCAGGACATTCTTGTTGTGAAGCTTAAGTGCTAACCACTGCACCTATCACTCCTGTGAGGTTTGGAGGGAAGGAAAATTGAAGAGACGAAACCAAGAAGAAGGCACTTTTGATGCCAACATTGTTGAGGAGAATTTATCTTAGTCGTAATGATCCATTTCAGGTTCCTTGGGGAGGTTAAGGTATAGCTCAGCCCTGGTGGACTGCAGTTGCCAACTCTGACCCTAGTCTCACCCTAGTCTGACCCTAGGCTACATTTTAATGCACTGGAAACGACATAAGAGCCAAGAAGAAGGCAAGGAGGTATCGGTACAAACCATTTGTACAATCAATATTAATTGGGAATGTCAACTCACTTCAAAATAAGTCAGAGGAACTTGAGGCTTTGGTGAAGTGTGATGCATCTTGCCGGCACTGTAGCCTTTATCTCCTATCTGAATCGTGGTGCCATCCCGGTCACACAACCGTGAAACAGTAGAGCTGTTGACGGGATATTAAACTGCTAGAAGTCGGGATTCGGCCCTACTACAGTATCTTCCACGGGAGTTCTCTCACATCGTCGCCATTATTGTTCACATTCCTCCTTGCGTTGAGCCGGAAACTGCAAGTGACATCATTCAGGAGGCAGTCGCTAAAATTCAGTCACAGCATTCTGACGCATTGATGATAGTATCAGAGGACTTGACACCATGTTGATGTGAGCTCACACCTGGGTGGCTTTACACAATATGTAGATTGTGCTACAGAACAAAACAGCATCTTAGATATTTGCTTCGTGCATGTGAAGAATGCCTATAGAGTAGTGGCAATGGCTCCCCTGCCCTGGGCAAGTCTGATCACAATCTGATTAATCTAAAGCCCATAAATAGGCCAAATATGATGAGAATGGCCATAGTCTGTAGATCGTTCAGGCAATGGACAACCGAGGCCAGTGATGCTCTGAGGGACTGCTTTGAGACTACGCCACATCTGCTGTGACCAGTCCTGCTCCTCCCGGCGGCTACACTATCTCTGCTGCTGTGACCAGTTATGCTCCTCTCAACGGCTACACCACCCCTGCTGCTGCGTCCTTCTTAACCATGGAGTATGTCCGGGTGGAGCTAAAGAAGCTCCAGGGGAGGAAGTCTGCTGGGCCTGATGGGATAATGCCAAGGCTCCTAAGGGAATGTGCAGCTGAGTAAGCCGAGCCTCTCCATACCATCTTTAACAAGAGTCTTCAGACTCAGTACTCCGACTGCTAATGCCACAGGTCGATCAGGCTCTTGACCCCCTGCACTTTACCTATCAGGAGAAAATGGGAGTGGATGACGCGGCCCTCTACATGCTCCATCGATCCGTGTACTTCCTGGATGATATGTGAGGCTGATATTCTTCGACTTCTCCAGTGCATTTAACACCGTCCAACCTCTCTTACTGAGGGAGAAACTGGAGAAGATTGGAGTTGATCCCATCTTTACCAACTGGACAATTACCTCACTGTGAGTTCACAGTATGTCAGGTTAGGGAAGAGCGTGTCTGGGACTGTTGTAAGCATTACGGGAGCACCACAGGGTACCGTTCTGGCTCCCTTCCTCTTCACAATTTACACTGCAGACTTTGCATACAACTCTGCTACATGCCATGAAAAAATATTAGCGGAAGATACCGCTGTTGTGGGATGTGTGAAGGGGGGGACTTCACAGGGAGGTTGTGGCTGCCTTCTCAGACTGGAGTGAGAAATGGACTGATTCTCAATGCATCCAAGACCAAGGAGATGATCATCAACTTTCACAGGAGCCCTTCCCATCGACTGGTCACAGTAAATGGACAAGACATCAAAGTGGTTCACTCCTATAAATATCTGGGAGTCCACCTGGACCACAGACTGGACTGGTCAGCTAAGGCCAATGCCATCTACAAGAAAGGTCAGAGCAGACTTTTCTTTCTGAGTAGACTAAGGTCCTTTGATGTGAGCAGTCAACTGTTGCACATTTTTTACCAGTCTGTGGTAACTAGTGCCGTGTTCTTTGAGATTGCATGTTGGGGTGGCAGTCTGACCTCGAGAGACAGTAACCGGCTCAACAGGCTGATCAGGAAATGTGTCTCTGTGATGGGGAGAAGTGTGGACTCTGTGGGAGCTGTGCTGGAGAGAAGAATGAGGGCTCAAATGCAGGGCAACCTAGGTAACAAACCTGGATGAGTCTTCTGCTGCTGGACACCTGAATTTCTCCTATGGGGATCAATAAAGTATCTGTCTACCTATCTATCTACCTCTGCTGCTGTGACCAGTCCTGCTCCACCCAGGGGCTACACCACCTCTGCTGCTGTGACCTGAAGGGCTGTTGCTTAATACTATTGTTAGCTTTTTAGAACAATCAATATTATTTTTGTTTCTGCTGCTATTGGACACCTGAATTTCTCCTACGGGGATAAATAAAGTTTCTATCGATCCATCTATCTATCTACAGATAGATAGATCTCTGTTAATATCTGGGCTACAGTGTGTGTTACAGTCTCTGTGCAATCATCTCTGGGCTTCAGTCTCTGCTAGAGTATCAGTGGCACAATGTCTGCGCAACAGTCTGTGTTACAGTTTCTGTGTTACAGTCTCTGGACTACAGTTCCTGCAACAGTGCCTGCTTCAGTCTCTGAGCCACAGTCTATGCTACAGTCTCTGTGTTACAGTCTCTGTGTTACAGTCTCTGTGTTACAGCCTTTGTGTTACAGTCTCTGTGTTACAGTCTCTGTGTTACAGCCTTTGTGTTACAGTCTCTGTGTTACAGTCTCTGTGTTACAGCCTTTGTGTTACAGTCTCTGTGTTACAGTCTCTGTGTTACAGCCTTTGTGTTACAGCCTTTGTGTTACAGTCTCTGTGTTACAGTCTCTGTGTTACATTCTCTGTGCAAGAGTCTATGTTACAGTCGCTGTGCTACAGCCCCTGTCCTACAGTCTCTGCTACACCCCCCCTGATACAATCTCCCTGCTCCAGTCTGTGAAAAAGTCTCTATTTTACATTCTCTGGGCTACAGTCTATGGGCTACAGTCAATGTTACGGTTTTTACTACAGTCTCTGTGGCAGCTTTGCCATCAGTGAGTGTGTATGTGTATGTCAAGGGGTGCAAAATGGGTGGTGGGTTTTAATATAGTTTATTTATATTTTATGCATGTCGTGTGTGTGTTTTTAATATTGATTTTAATTTGCACCACCTGAAGCACCCCGGCTCCCCACGTGACAATTAGAACACCTGTGCCACGGTACAAAAGGAGATGGGGAGGGGGCAGGAGAAGGGAAACGGAGAGGGAGCCAGACACGGGAGCCAGGCGCGGCGGGTGAGAGCCCCGTGGTCTGGCGGCCCAGGCCGTGGGGATGCATTTTGGCCTGTTTTAGCCTCTGTTTTAGCTTTTTTGCCTTGTTTTTTAGCTTAGGTTTTTATTGCTTTTATTTACTTGTTTTTAATGTATTTTATAATAAATTGCTTTTAATTCGCTTTTAATCCAGTGGTCCCTTTTTAAATCCGGGTCCGAAGAACCTGTTTTTACACTTGTGACATTTTGGCATTGCTGACAGGATCCGGTACCACTGTTTTAAGAAAAAAACAAAAAAGCAAGTAGAGGCCATGGCTCTTGCTTGGTGGATGCCCGAAGGAATTAAGGGTGCAGCGCATGGAAAGGCGTGGAGGACAGGGCGCACAATGAGAGCTGGACTGCGAGCTGGGAGCCGGGTGGGCCACCCTAGATCCACGCAGCGCACAGGAGAGGAGCGCCACATCCGCGACCTAGAGTGAGAGCACCACGACGCATGATATAGACAGGGGCAGACTTGGAGGTCTGCCTGGCCTGTGAGTATGAGCATGTGGTGTAGTGGTGCTCGTCGAAGGCTTATGGCCCGAGGGTCGCGGGTGTGTGGGTTTGTGCTGGCCTCTGGTGTGTGTGGTGCAGGTGGGCCCGGTCAGCAGCAGCAAGAGGACGAGGGATGCGCGAGTGGTCCCGCACAGGAGGACACGGCTCACCCGGGGGCGCAGCGGACAAATGCAAGGCACGGCGGAGGAGGCGCGCTGCGGAGGTGAACCCCCTCTCCCCAGCGATGGAAAGGCACAGGTGTTCACGAACTAGCAGGGACTGCTATTATTAAAGCAGGGGGGAGTGTCAAGGGGTGCAAAATGGGTGGTGGGTTTTAATATAGTTTATTTATATTTTATGCATGTCGTGTGTGTGTTTTTAATATTGATTTTAATTTGCACCACCTGAAGCACCCCGGCTCCCCACGTGACAATTAGAACACCTGTGCCACGGTACAAAAGGAGATGGGGAGGGGGCAGGAGAAGGGAAACGGAGAGGGAGCCAGACACGGGAGCCAGGCGCGGCGGGTGAGAGCCCCGTGGTCTGGCGGCCCAGGCCGTGGGGATGCATTTTGGCCTGTTTTAGCCTCTGTTTTAGCTTTTTTGCCTTGTTTTTTAGCTTAGGTTTTTATTGCTTTTATTTACTTGTTTTTAATGTATTTTATAATAAATTGCTTTTAATTCGCTTTTAATCCAGTGGTCCCTTTTTAAATCCGGGTCCGAAGAACCTGCTTTTTTACCCCTGTGACATTTATGTATGTGTGCGTGTGCGTGTGTGTGTGTTGTAAAGAGCTGACCTTCTTGTTGGGCAGTGTAGAGCGGACATAGCCCACCTTCAGCTCTCGCACCACAGAGCCCTTGGAGCCTGCCCCTGCACCAGTCAGGGTTACCAGCATTGGGGAGGCCTCACTCACTGAGGGAACAGAGAAGATTGTGAAAAGGCCTCATATTTCAGACGCTGTAATAAAAAGAACAAGATAAGCGTGAATCTGTGTTTACTATGGAGCCATTATTGTTTCAATAATATTTGTGCGTGCATAAACAGATTTGTGTGAGTGTAAAAAGATTTGTGCTTTTGTAACTAGATTTGTGTGTGCACATCCAGATTTGTGTCTGTAAAAAAATTATTTGTAAGCGTAACAAGATTTGAGTGTGTGTGTAACATTTTTTTACGTTTTACACACAAGTCTTTTTTTTTTGTACACAAATCTTTTGACACAGTCCTGCCTTGAACTGTGTGCACGTGTACCCAGATGTATGTGTGTGTAATTTGATATTTGTATCTGTAACAGAACAATTTTTATGTAAATGTTCACGTTGTAAGAAGAAAGCCTAAGTACTACCCCCAGGCTCTTGTTTCACACATGAAACTTTTTACACACTTCAGCCGTCGGTGTCTCTAGAGATTCGCAAGCGTAATGTGGTTGTTCTAGCACTATACCAGCAGATGCCGCTTTTGTAACTGGTTATTACAAGCAAGCAAATCAACACTCACTGCCTTGTCGAGATACACTGCCTCAGCTGTTTATGATGTAAGGCAAACCTGCGCATGCACGTCTCACGGTAGCTAATAGATTACAAATGGTCTGTCGGGTTGATAGTGGAAATAATAAACAAATCTAACTAAGTTGTAAGCTAAGAGCTGTTGAGTTAGCCACAGGATGCGTCATCAGCCTACGTCAGTAAAATGATGTATGCGGCAGTTCAACTCGACAAGAAAGGGAATGCTATCATACAGATCTATGTATCATACAGTAGTGTGAATGACAGGAGCAGTTACTACTTAAACCAAACTTTACACAAAACTTTGACCCTTAAAACCCAAATATCAGGACATGGAACCATCAACATCTCGCCTCAAATTGTATTAAAAGTAACATTTGTGTCTTAATTCGTTGGTATTTTTGTCTTTTAAAGCATTTATGTCCGCCATCTTGGTTTGCTTCGGAGAAGTGCATGCGCAGGTTTGCCATACATCATAAAGAACACAAGAACAAGAGACACTGACAGCAGGAGTGTGTCCAACTCTCCGTGCTTTTTAATTGCCCCTCGTGGATAAATAAAGTGATTGATTGATTGAAAGTTTCATGTGTAACACAAGAGCCTGTTCGTAGCAGGCTTTTTTCAGTTTTTCTCTTCATACAACGTGGACATTTACATACAGATTGTTCTGTTACAGATTCAAATGTTGAATTGCACACACAGATTTCTGGGTACATGCGCACACAGTCCAAGTTACACTTGCGAATCTGCGAAGGCAGAACTGTGTCAAAAGATCTGTGTGTAACACACACAGATCTAGTTACACGCGCAAAAATCTTTTTTTACACACACAACTCTGTATATACGCATGCACAGAGTTGTATGCGCTTTTGGTGAGTACTGCGTACTGATTCTTGTGTTAGTTCGATCATCCTAAAATAGTGTTTGTAGCATATCGGCGTCCAACGCGCAAGCTGCTGCTGTGCGCGTGCTCTGCCTGCTCCCCCCTCACTGGGCCCTCCTCCTAAACAATATAGGTAGGTGTTTGTTTTAATCAACAATATTGCTTATAGGGTCCTGTCTCGTACCTCCCTTTCCAAGTGGGATTTCTGACATCTGTTGAAGCTGGCACTACAATCCATACAAGTTCTTCAAAGTGGAAGTCTACAAATGTGTACAGTGGCCGCAGATCTGCAGGACGCATAACTACATCCAGTGTTCCTAATCCCCCCCCCACGCACCTAAGTTAGAGACAATTCAACCACAAAGTTTTCCTCATGATTCCTCTACCCACAAGGCAACACATTTGGACCATAGAGTGGCTTAAACACAACAGCTGCTGTAGTTGGGACACTTTTAAAGTCATTCATGGTTTTTTTCTATTTTGTTTTCACTGGCTGTCTAATTGTTTTTTCCTAGAATGCATGTACAGTACCTTGCGAAAGTATTCGGCCCCCTTGAACCTTTCAACATTTCGCCATATTTCAGGCTTCAAACATGAAGATATAAAAAAAATATTTTTTTTCATGAATCAACAACAAGTGGGACACAATTGTGAAGTGGAATGAAATTTGTTGGATAATTTAAACTTTTTTAACAAATAAAAAACTAAAAAGTGGGGCGTGCAATATTATTTGGCCCCTTTACTTTCAGTGCAGCAAACTCACTCCAGAAGTTCAGTGAGGATCTTTGAATGATCCAATGTTGTCCTAAATGACTGATGATGATAAATAGAATGCACATGTGTGTAATCAAGTCTCCGTATAAATGCACCTGCTCTTTGATAGTCTCAGGGTTCTGTTTAAAGCGCAGAGAGAACCATGAAGACAAAGGAACACACCAGGCAGGTCCGAGATACTGTTGTGGAGAAGTTTAAAGCCGGATTTGGATACAAAAAGATTTCCCAAGCTTTAAACATCTCAAGGAGCACTGTGCAAGCAATTATATTGAAATGGAAGGAGTATCAGACCACTGCAAATCTACCAAGACCCGGCCGTCCCTCCAAACTTTCATCTCAAACAAGGAGAAGACTGATCAGAGATGCAGCCAAGAGGCCCATGATCACTCTGGCTGAACTGCAGATAACTACAGCTGAGGTGGGGATGGTGTGTTCAGGGTGATGAGCTGTGTTGCTTTTACGCCAAACATATCGTTTTGCATTGTGGCCAAAAAGTTTGATTTTGGTTTCATCTGACCAGTGCACCTTCTTCCACATGTTTGGTGTGTCTCCCAGGTGACTTGTAGCAAACTTTAAGAGACTTTTTATGGATATCTTTGAGAAATGGCCACTCTTCCATAAAGGCCAGATTTGTGCAGTGCACGACTGATTGTTGTCCTATGGACAGACTCTCCCACCTCAGCTGTAGTTATCTGCAGTTCATCCAGAGCGATCATGGGCCTCTTGGCTGCATCTCTGATCAGTCTTCTCCTTGTTTGAGATGAAAGTTTGGAGGGACGGCCGGGTCTTGGTAGATTTGCAGTGGTCTGATACTCCTTCCATTTCAATATAACTGCTTGCACAGTGCTCCTTGAGATGTTTAAAGCTTGGGAAATCTTTTTGTATCCAAATCCGGCTTTAAACTTCTCCACAACAGTATCTCGGACCTGCCTGGTGTGTTCCTTTGTCTTCATGGTTCTGTCTGCGCTTTAAACAGAACCCTGAGACTATCAAAGAGCAGGTGCATTTATACGGAGACTTGATTACACACAGGTGCATTCTATTTATCATCATCAGTCATTTAGGACAACATTGGATCATTCAAAGATCCTCACTGAACTTCTGGAGTGAGTTTGCTGCACTTAAAGTAAAGGGGCCGAATAATATTGCACGCCCCACTTTTCAGTTTTTTATTTGTTAAAAGAGTTTAAATTATCCAATAAATTTTGTTCCACTTCATGATTGTGTCCCACTTGTTGTTGATTCATGACAAAAAATGTAAATTTTATATCTTTATGTTTGAAGACTGAAATGTTGCGAAATGTTGAAAGGTTCAAGGGGGCCGAATACTTTCGCAAGGCACTGTAGTATGAATGGGACCGTATGTCGCGTGATTGTATATCATTTTACTTAGAATAATCATTTAAAAGCTGGTCTTAAATTAAATAAACTCATATTTTGTTATATTTGCCTCTGTCTATCTCTCCACATCCAAACAAACTTGTGCAATCTAGTAATGCGGGGATAAACTTCTTAAGTGGTTCCTTGGGCCAAAATCTAAGGTGGCGTTGTTGGTATATACGTATATACGTATATAGTTCATATTGATGAACTTAGTGATAAGTGAGATTCTAGTTAAGTACTTCCGAGGCTGCAACATAAATATGCAGTCCATGAAAAGTATGCAATACATTTATTTATTTTTTTAAATCACTATTGCACAAAAGATAATGCAAACAGGGAAAGGTGAACCATGTTCTAGTGAGGGACCAGAGTGATGGATGCTGAGGGTGTGTTGCTGTTCAGTACCTGGGGGCGTGGCTGTCCCAGGGGCCTGAGTGCAGAGACGGTCTCCTCCACTCACAAAGATGCTTTTGGACCACGCTGCGCCCTGCAGGTCTGTCTCACACACTACACTCTGAAACGGCAGAAAAGTACTGAATCAATATCACTCCTATAAGAATATGATGACAACAATAGCGCAACCCTGAGTTACAGTCACTGATGGTGTTTGAGTATAGTTTTTTTTGGTTCAAATATTGTCCAGGCTGTAGTTGCACTTTAACTTTTATATTTTATAGTTTACTACTTGTTTGCCCAACATGTCGTCTTTCTGACTCTGCATACTTGTCACTAAGAGCCCTGTTGCCTTTAGCTCTGAGCTTTCAGTGGGACAGGCTGTAGTTAGGAGCGGGATAGACTTTAGGAGTGGTTGTCACTCATACACTGTAAAAAAGTTAGTTCAACTCAAAATTTCAAAGCAACCAGCTGCGAAGGATTTTTGAGTTGAAGGCATTAACTTAATTCTTCACGTTTTGAAGAACTACACTTATTAAGTTGTGGCAGCTAAGTTTTCCAAGTTCTGCTAACTACGTTTTTAAATTCAAGTTACTGGAAATGTCTGTAAAATCTTACTTTTTTAAGTTCAGATTACTGTCCCCTACAATAACTTAGTATTTTGAGTTTAAATTGGCCCCACATTAAACCATCATTATGTTTATTTATATAGCGCGTTTTACAGACCAAGGTCACTTGGGCAGAATGGGCAAAATGTTGAATGCAGCTGGTTGCCATGACAAATATTTAAATGAGCAAACGCAGATAAGTTGACCTCACTCTAGCTCGTTGAACTGTAAAAACGACAACTAAAAATTGTTCACCTTACTCAGATTTTTGCATTCACTGATAATAAAATTGCCAGTTGGAACTGGAACTGTCTGTTGTGAGCCACTTGAACTCACTTTCAGAAGTTCACTACAACTTCAAAGTAAAATCAACTTAATATATCAAATAAGATTAACTTTTCATCAGAAACTTCTGAAAGTGAGTTCAAGTGGCTCAAAACAGACAGTTGCAGTTCCAACTGGCAATTTTATTGTCAGTGAATGCAAAAATCTTAGTAAGGTGAACAATTTTGAGTTGTATTTTTTACAGTGTGACTCTGTCACTCACCACCTTTCTTGGTTTAACTCTCAGTGTTCTTACAACATAGTTTTTATTATTCATACTGTACATGTTTGGCTTGATAAACTGTCAGTGGGTCAGTCCCTGAGCCAGACCTGGTCGGATAGTTGCACAGTGAGACGGGCTCTAAACTCTCGCTCTGCTTTGGGGTGGAAACAAATGCGCAAGTCCACACTCTGTCCCGGAGAAAGCCTGCCCCCTGCTGGCTGCACGGTGAACACACTCTCACCACAATCACCTGTAGACACAAAGTAAATCACATGTTTCTCTGCAAGACCTGGAAAATATGGAGAACACGCAGTATTGGTGCTCATGTTAGCTCTCAAACTTAATCTTGTCAATCTCTTTTTGTCTACCATTGATTGCACTGGAAACAGCAGCAAGTCCCAAGTAACTCTCAAACAGTAGTTTTTCTTGTTTTTTTAATAGCTGTAAATGGTCATGGTTTCCCACAGATCCAGACCACGGCAGAGAGGATGCACGCTCCAAGACAGGCAGATCAAGTGTAAATCCATCGGAGGAATGCTACTTTTATTTTTGAAATGCTAATAAAGCATTCAGAATTTCACTTTGAACCAGAGCAGAGAAAATGGACCGAACCAAGCAGACTCTGCATCAACCAGAAGATAAAAAACAGCTTATCACCAGAGGCTGTTCCGCCTCTGCTGCTGTGACTTAAAGGGCTGTTGCACTTTCTAATTCTAAAAGTTCAACATTCATTACAACACGCCAAAACAAGCATGAAATGCAAGATTCGGACAACAATAAACATATTCCCACTCTGGCAAGATTATAGGCACACCTCTCACATTACAAATATGCAATTTTACGAAGTTATCTTAGGGCTAGTTTGTGTTATAAAATAACGTGCAAGATGTCAAACTCTAAAGTCTCCCACAAATGTGTGGATTGTTCTATGCACCTACAATCAGTGTGCAACAGCATTTGGTTCATGCGGGTCCAAGCAAAGACGCGCGCCGCCGTGGAGTGCTGCGCGGGTCTGATCAGAGGAAGATGGCTCTGGGAAATGCAGAGACCATGGCCAGCATCGCCTTCAGCCTGTACAGCTCAGACAGGCTGTCATTCAACCATTTTAAAATAATAATCACATACATAGTTTGACATAGTTACATACATAGTTAGGGGCGACAGTAGCTCAGTTGGTAGAGCATTGGCCTTCAGGCCTGAAGGTCGTGGGTTCAATTCCCACCTCTGCACCTTCTCCACCGACTCCCACTGATGACTGCTGTCGTTGTGTCCTTGGGCAAGACACTTAACCCCACTTTGCCCAAAGCCCCCACTGAAAGATCAAGGCTATGCTCACAGTCAGAGAGCAGCCGTCCTCCTGTGGACTCACCACCTGCAGAGGGTCAGTGAGGGGCCGGTGCTATGAGACTTGGGTGGCATCTCTGACTGCCACCCCCCTGACCCAGAAATGGATTAAAGGGAAGAAAATGGATGGATGGATGGATGGATACATAGTTTGAAGTTAATTTTATTTCTTAACATTTTCTTTTGGATGCTTTGGTCTGGTAGTCCTCCCCCTGGGCTGCTGAGCACTTCTTCTATGAGCTGCTAAAGGCCTTTTTGTTACCGTTTTAAGGTCGCTCTATTTTTTTTTCACCTGTAGGCATAAAATGAATCCTAACTATTGGCCCAACATATCTGTCAACTGTTTGACATAATATTGCGTATATTTCTTCGAACATAAATAAACTCACCTCAGTGCGTGTTACAGCCCCCACGCTGTTTACAGATGATGTCATCTCTTTCCATATTTTCTTTTTTGAGCCCTCTTGATGCCACTTTTGAGGCTTCCAAATAGAAAGACTTTATTTTTTTCCCACTTTGTTCATAATGTTCTCAACCTCCTTCGTGAACTTTTTTTTGTGCCGTTTCCTCTCAATGTCGTAAAAATGGGGAGTGTTGCTGCATATTTCTAGGCGTGACTTTCATAAACACGTTTTCAGCCGCGGCATTTATCAACAGCCGCAGTGCATACGCTCAGATCTGTGCGTATCTCACATGTTCAGAAATCCGGCGTTGGCTTGTGCGTATTTGGAATATACACCCAAAATGTACACCCTTTTCTGCGCAAATTTCATAAATGAGGGCCAATGTAAGGTGACAGCAGTACAATGAAGTAAAGTTACGATGATGATGATGGGCAGTAAAGTGACGTTATAAAGGGCAGTAAAGTGACATTATAGAGAGCAGTAGGGGACTTCTAGAGGGCGGGCGGACAGGTTATGAAGTGTTCAAGAGTCCAACAGCAGAGGGGAAGAAACTGTTCTTATGGCGGGAGGTTCAAGTCCTGATGGACCGCAGCCTCCTGCCTGAGGGGAGTGTTTGGAATAGTCCATGTGCAGGGTGAGAGGGGTCGGCTGTGATACGACCAACCCGGCCTTGAGCTCTGACGGTGGCTCCAGCGAACCACACGGTGATGGAGGAAGTGAGGATGGACTCGATGATGGCCGTGTAGAACTGCACCAACATGCAGCTTGGCGTTCCTGAGCTGCCGCAGGAAGTACATCCTCTGCTGGGCCTTCTTAATGAGGGAGCTGATGGTCGGCTCCCACTTGAGATCCTGGGTGATGGTGGTTTCCAGGAAATGAAAGGACTCCACAGAGGTGATGGGGGCGGGGGGACTGTGCTCTTCCTGAAGTCTACAATCATCTCCACTGTCTTCTGGGCATTCAGCTCCAGGTTGTTACCACTGCACCAGGACACCAGCCGGTCCACCTCCCTCCTGTAGGCGGACTCATCGCTGTTGGAGATGAGTCCAATGAGGGTGGTGTCGTCCGCGAACTTGATCAGCTTCACGGAGTCGTGGCTGGAGGTGCAGTGGTTGGTGTACAGGGAGAAGAGCAGGGGAGAAAGAACACACCCCTCTGGGGATCCTGTATTTATAATCCAAGAGTCCGAGACATTCTTCCCCAGATGCACCCGCTGCTTCCTGTCTGTCAGGAAGTCAGTGATCCACCTGCAGGTGGAATCGGGCACGTTGAGCTGGGAGAGCTTGTCCTGGAGCAGGGATGGCAGGATTGTGTTGAAGGCAGAGCTGAAGTCCACGAAGAGGACCCTGGCGTAGGTCCCCGGGAGTCCAGGTGCTGTAGGATGTGGTGGAGGGCCAGGTTAATGGCGTCGTCTACAGATCTGTTGGCTCTGTAGGCGAACTGCAGGGGGTCCAGGAGGGGGGAGGTGAGGGACTTGAGATGGGAGAGGACCAGGCGCTCAAATGACAATGACAATGACAATGTTGACAAGCATGGCAAGTCCACTGTTCTTCGCTTTACCACACGCTTTAGTGTCTCTGTCAGCCCTGACGATAGAGAGGCTGGTGATGCTGACAGCTGAATCTGGTATTTTGTCATGTAGCCACGATTCAGATAGGAGATAAAGGCTACAGTCCTGGAAAGATGCATGCATCACACTTCACTATAGAGGAGGAGGGTTGCTGCATAAATGAAAGCTGCTGCTTGAATGAAGCTTCCTTGTGATAATGACCTTGGAATGTCATTTAAGTTATAATTTTAGTAAATCACATGTGGCTAAATTAGACTGGCTCTGGCCAGTCTGGACGAGAGGGTTGTTTGAAGAGGACCAAGCCCTTGCTGGGAATTCCATTGTCTCTGCCACTTCTCCTGTTCTGTACTATTGATATGCTTAATACCAAAGGTGCCGCTTTAAAACTGTATGTATGTAAGGGGGCTGGCCTTGAAGCCTAGCAAAAAGAAGTTTGAGCCTTGTCTGAGTTAGATCTGATTTTGGAACCAGTGAGAGAGCAGCACTTTATGCCCTGTCTCTGTTTTAAATCACTCTCTAAATCACTTATCCTTGGAAAGGCAACCAAGATTAAAAATGCTTATTATCAGCTCCTCACAGCAGCAGTAGAATGCTCCATTGAACGTTTTGTTTTTTCAAAACGTTCTACCAGTCATTATTTTCTATAACAGACCTCTCAAAACAATAATGACCGCTGCCCATGGCAACGCACTCTCTGCTTGTATTTCAGATGCGTGGATAACTCCGCAAGTAGTTCCGGCCACTCCGGAGCTAGCCACGCTCAATCAACACACTTAAATGTTAATCGGAGAACACTTATATGTGGGAAAGTGGACTTTTAAAAAGGACCTTTTAACTGCTTTTATTTTTGTGATGTGTTTTGTGTGTTTTTATGGTTTGAATGCATGCATTTCATCATTGTCCCCTGGACACTTCCCCTAACCCGCACCTGTTTTAATCAAGACCTTTTAATTGGGGGCGGGCACTGCAGGACAGGGGAGAAGAAGAGGAAGAGAGCAGAGGAGAGCCAGGGGAGAGGATGAGGACACGGGACCGGGCCAAGGACGAGCACCGCCAGCCAGAGACCACGGGGCACTGAGGCCAGCGGGCAGAGCGATGGGACTGATGGGACTGCAGCCCGGTCCCGGGACGGAGAAGGGCCTGGAGGGAACAGAGGAGGACACCGGTGCCCAGCGGACTACGGGTTTTATCATGATTTTAATGGACCTTTTGTAAATATTTTATTAAATTTTATCCCCTTTTTATCCTCTTCCTGTTTTATTGATCACACCCCCCCAACAGACACTTTTAAACCTGTGACATTTTATGGCGTTGCTGACAGGATTGAGGACTGGTGTGATCTTTTATTGGTTTTAGCCCCGTTTTTATTTTTTACTTTTTTATGCAATTTGTACCGCTGGACAGGAGACTGCCGTTGGGGACGCAGAGCAGAGGCCTTGCCCCAAAACGAGGAACATTATTGGAGGCCCCGCGGATGGTTTTAATGGATTTATGGACTTGTTTTTAAGGAAACGTGGAGTGGTGCCCGCCGGAGAAACGGATGATTAAGCAGATGGATGGACTATGGTTTTAACGTAGCAGGGACTGCTTACGTTTAAGTCGGGGGGAATGTGGGAAAGTGGACTTTTAAAAAGGACCTTTTAACTGCTTTTATTTTTGTGATGTGTTTTGTGTGTTTTTATGGTTTGAATGCATGCATTTTATCATTGTCCCCTGGACACTTCCCCTAACCCGCACCTGTTTTAATCAAGACCTTTTAATTGGGGGCGGGCACTGCAGGACAGGGGAGAAGAAGAGGAAGAGAGCAGAGGAGAGCCAGGGGAGAGGATGAGGACACGGGACCGGGCCAAGGACGAGCACCGCCAGCCAGAGACCACGGGGCACTGAGGCCAGCGGGGAGAGCGGCACCGGTGAGGCGCGCATTGGCGCGTG